TATACTAACTGAGTAAGACATGCTTTGAGGCTAAAAATAAGTCCTATTCTATCTCGCCTATGCCTCAAGTAAATGAATAAGCTAATAGCAAGCGTGCATTGTAGCAGCTTTTGATTAAAAGCTAGTTTTTTCTAGCTTCAAAGCCAAAGAGGAAGTTTTGACTAATCAATCTATTATTTTTTTTTAAATAGGAAAGAAAGAAATTTAAACATAAATAATTAATAAGACAATGATACACCTCCTTCAAAGTAAAAGAAGACTTCACCTAATCCAAATCAATGCTACAAAGAAGCCTCAATTACCACAAAGAAGACTCATGGATTTGCACATCACAATCAAGAGTTTATAGCAAATAACAACCACCAATTGCTCAAATATCAAATGACATATCCAACAAAAATATATGAGAAAGATGTTATGCATTTTCTCCTTACAAATTGGATGTGCTACACATTTACATATTTGCTCATTTTTGACATCTACTCTCAATTTTTTCACTAACTGTTAGGCAAGGCTATATCCTTTATATGTTGTAGAAGCAATGTGTGATGCTTACGTATATAAATATTGGAAGGTCTAGATCCTATTGTCACGTAAAATAAAATAAGAAGCAAAATGCAATTAGGAGGAAGAAAAAAGAACAATTTTAACATTCCATTGATCAATCCAATTAAAGGAAAAAAAACATAGACTAGTTTCAACAGTTAAACAATTAATTCAACCAAAGAATTATTACATTTCATTAAAGCCCTTCTGAACAAGCTAACTGAGAAGTTACTCGGGTCAGTTCAACAACTTATTGTTCTTAATCAAATCTTCTATAATGCTATTTTATATTCTTGATAACGAAAAATGATAAAGCAAGATGCCTCACAATTTTCTAGAACCTAGAACCCTTTTTACAACATTTTCTGAAGTAAGACCAAACATTTCAATTGAAACATATAAACCAAAAAATAAAAAAATAAAAATAGAAACAAAAACAAACTAAGAGGATGGTAGCCTTACAAAATATGGAGTTCAAACCACACTGGTGTTAGTTGAAGCAATGGCAATGCAAACCACAAGGACCAAACAATTTTTTGGAGAGTAGCATTTTTCAATTGTACTATGATTGACACCTATGTGAACGTTATCATGTCCTCCCTATATCACAATAATCAATGACAATGCAACCAATGCAGCTTCCTACAAATGGCAACTAACAACTAAGGACATTACAAATTGTATATGAATGAAACTACATATAAAATTGTTACCAATTTAGCAAAAACCCTAAAAGTAAATTATGGTTCCTAGTTACTACATTAATTTAACCCTATCGACAAAAATAGTATAAAGTTTTTACCAATTTTGGCAAAAACCCTAGAGTGCTTGACCAAAAACTAATTCTTAGTTTGACTAACTCTTGTTCAAAATTCTGAGATAATCCAGAGAACTAGAGTGCCTAACCAAAAACATCTTCTTCTTCTTTCTTTTTTTTTGGCCTGTAAGTGTGCAATTGCACAATATTTAATTGTTTTCCCTTTAATCCATGAAGCACCCTCATAAACCAATCTAGGCACTATTTGACATAATACAAAGGGAATAGCAAAACCTATAAGAAGACTCAAAGGGAGGGAAAACTCCGAAAAAACTGCCATGTTTTCCTGCTAAGTCTACCATTTTTGAAACACTTACCCCAAGTGCACGAGTCTATTCCTAGAAATACATCTCTTAATTATGCTTCATAAAATTAGTAAGATAATCAAGTACTCTAAAACCTCCAACATTCTACCTTTTGCGAAATTTGAATTTTGATGCAAAAGGTGAGTCCCAACCTTAATTGAAAGTTGTGATCTAAACGAATCAATTCCCAAAACCTTGACTTTGAAATAGACATGAACCTATCATTCAAGAACCACTACTTCCTTAGAAAATTTATTTGTAATAGACATCCCTCATTCATACCTCTTCATTTTATTGGAAACCCATCAAACCCATTTCATAAAAACCCATCTATATAGTTAGACAAAGAAATTCATAGAATCATTTAATAGAAATAGACCCATTTCATTTCATAGAAATCCATTTCAAAACCATTTCACATAAATCAAAACCATTTGACAACAGTCATCATGCCTATTATTTGAAGAGTGCTCCAGGAGAAAGGCCATGCTAGTACCTTTAATAAAAAAAAAGGCCACTATACAAAACAAGAGGGCAAAACACATTTTCACATCATGTGCCTAACTGCGAATTCTTCAAATTTGGTTTTCGCATGAGTCACATAATTGGTGTTTTGCTTTGGTTTAAAACTGGCAAGTGGCTGCTAATTTAAGGTTATGTTCATAGTATATGTCACAATTAAAGAATGTTACTTAGCTGCGGTTTGACAATCGTTTTGGAGCTACATGAGCACAACACGACAAAAATGCACTACAAAATCACAAGCAAACAAACAGAATGGACCCGTGTGGTGGGAAGCACGTGACCGAATGGACAATGATGAAAATACCCCCTGTTCAATTGGATTTTGGTTTACATGTATTTGGTAGGGTTTTCTGATGAAACACACTTCAACTTCACGGCGACATAGAACCAGAGAGGGGGAGAGGGCAACACAGCATCCGACGATCGATCCAGGCCTACAGTGCTTCGTCAACGGGTCGACCATCCTTCACGCGTAACATTGTGTCGTCGTTGCATCTCTAGTACGCATAACTCGCTCTATTTTGGGGTTTTCGTCTCCTTGCACGAGATGTCACTTATTTGTGCTGTGTATGTTGAAAATCTGTGGTTCTGGAGTTCGATCATTGGTAAAACATGTATTTTGGTGTCAATGGTGGTTTAAAACTGAAAATGTTCTACTTGATTCTGATCTGTTGTGGATGAACTGAAGCAATGTTGGATGGTAGTGTTCATTTGGTTTATTTATTTTTTAAATTTTTTTTTCGGTTTTTTCTTCTTTAATTTTTCTTAATTTTTTTGTTCGGTTTTGTTCGGTGTTCTTGTGGAATTTATTGAATTTTTTTTCTAACTCAGTCGACGTCAAACTAGTTTGTTTTTTTTTTTTTAATTTTTTTTCCTTTCTCTTTTATTTTTATTTTCTATTTTTTTTACCCCTGTTTCTTGTTACTCGTTGAACACAATTTTTGTTTAACTCACACTACAAAATGGTTTTGCTTGTTGCTGGAGTAGACAGAGCAATTGGAATGTTATCTGTTAATTTGTTGAACTGAACAGAGCAATATATTTTTACAAGGCAATTCAATTTATCTGTTAATTTGTTACATTTGTTAATTTGTTGAACTGAGCAGAGCAGTATAGTTGGTTGTATCCGGATTTTGGTTGGAGAAGCATTTTATGAAATACAGACAAAACAGAGCACAACATTTGAACTTGTTAATTTAATTTTATTTTTTTTCCTATTTTGTCTTTCAAATCTGTTAGCAATTCTTGGTTTTTTAAAAATCTGTGACTATTTGTTGTTGTTTGCTCTTTCACCAACAAATAGTTGTGCCTTCGCCTGAACTGTCTATTACTTTCTATATGTGTTTCTGCCTGGTCTTCAATGTAATCATAATTAAATGGCCAACTAACTAACTGAACATATGCCCTAGCTGATAATGGTGGTTTTCTTTTTTGTAATTATACTGTGTTAATTTTAGTCGTTTCAATTATGTTGGATTAGTAACGCTTTCTTAACTGTTAAACAAAAAACAGTGAGCGTTGTTTTTCAATTCTCTTGGATTGGGTCCATTGAAGAATGTTGCTTATGTGTATGCAATCCTATTTTTGTATGCGTGTTATTGTATTTATGCCATAAACAGTACTGGTAAACCAATTATGTAGTTTAGTGCAACATGGTGTATGCTAACAATTAACTATTTAACATAATCATCTCATTACCACACATATCATATACGACAACCACATAACTTATTGGCGAAAATGTATCAAACAGCATTTCCTACACCTTATGTTTGTCTACTATTCATCTATGTTACAAAAAAAAGCATGGCTTCATTCATGTCAAGTGGCACATATACTCCATGGCCACGTCGTACATGTGCCTGTGGCTACGGTCAATGTCTTGTCAAGATTTCCAAATCTCACAAAAATCTAGGACGGGCTTACTATGCGTGTCTGAATCCTGTGGTGAGTACACCGAATTTTTTGGTAACATATTGTCATTTCTTTTACACCAGTTTACTAATAGCTTTGTACGTACATTTCGTCACCCATGTTTAAGTTGGATTGGTTGGTGCGATGAACCTAGGCGACTGAACACAGAGTCTGACTCCGCCATGATGACATTGTCATGCAGTTACGGGATGATGTCATTCACATTCAACAAACGTTGCGTATCTTGAAAACCATTGTTTCTGTGCTATGCATTGTTGTTGTAATCTTATTGTTGCGTATGTGAAAATGTGAAAAGTGTCTTGTAACACCCTAACAAACCTAATACTGTAATGACTTATGTTTGTTATGGACATGATACCTACAAGTCATTGTCAATGACGTGTAATGGAATGGTGGTTTCGATCTACAAAATTGTTTGTTGGTAGTTCATCTTAATTTTATGTGTAAACGATTGTGAAAATTGTTAAGTTTATAAGTTTTTGCGCCAATTTGTTTGGGTGAGTGATACGCGAACATTTATAAGGTACTTATGCTTTAATTTATCAGTTGCATTGTCGGTATGGATTCCACATGAACTTCACCGCGGACGGTTGCCAAAAATAAAGGGGTTGGAAGTACCCGAGCTAATGTTCTTGCCGACAGCCAAGATGTTCACAAAGCTGTATGGGATTATGAATCCACACAGCTTTTCCTACAACTTATTGCCGATGAGATTGTTGAGGGCAACCGACGATTCATGGTTTTGAGTAGCGCTGGGTATAAGTCTTTGGCCAAGAAGTTTGAAAAAAAAAACTGGTCGAAAACATGATGTCAAGCAGTTGAAGAACAAATGCGCATGCCTGAAACGAGAATGGACTGCTTGGATGAAGTTGATGGACCATACGAAAGGCATAACTGGAATTGGCTTTGACGCTGAAATAGGCATGTTTCAGGCTTCCGATGAATGGTGGGATCGTATGGAACTGGTAAATTATTTATACTATTTTGTTACCTTTCTACATTGCTTTAAATTTTTTTTTGTAACATATTGTCACTAATGGTTTGTGTTTGCTTTGCTGCAGATAAATAAGAGTTGTGCAAAGTTCAGGACTAAGACTTTGGAGCACCGGGAGTTGATGGAGATTGTCTTCACAGGCGCAGCTGCAACAGGAAGACATCATTGGACACCGGGGGAAAGGACTATCGAAGATAACAAGGGATCTTCTAATTCAGTTCAAAGCCTTGGTATGCGGCCTTTCACAGATCTAATCCCTTCTGTTGGTATTGGCGTAGATGCTAAGTCGTCAATGGAAGGTGTTGAACCTGCGGTTGACCCTGGCGCAAAAAGGAAAAGAAATACTCCCGCAAGTTCAGGAAAGTCGAGAAAGCCGACTAGTGGAGCATCTGCCTTAGCTGACAGCGTTAACAATCTGAGCAATGTCGTTCGTACTAAAAACCAAGAAGTTATTGTGAGGCACTTAACTGGGAATGAGTCCTTGTACACCATTTCAGAGTGCATGGACAGGTTGAAATCCATTCCTACCTTGGTCGGTACACCGTTGTTTCACTTTGCATCATCTCTTATGGACAACGCTGATTATCGAGTGGTTATGATGTGCCAGCCCGATGATGACCATATTATCAGGTGGCTTACGCATAAGCAACTACAAAGCAGCACTGCAGCTCCATTTGCGAACCTTTTTAGTGCACGGCAGGTTTGATGGATACTGGGATAGGCCACGGGGTTGGGCGACTTCTGGGAACTTATGGGTTCTTTCCGTGTTATGTGTTAATGTTTTAAGGCGAACTTGTTACAGTGTCGGATATTTAGGACGTCTATGTTATTTTTCTTGTTTTTTTTGAAACTTTTTGATTAGGGTTTGTTTGGTTTGCTTAAGTTGGATGTTTATGTGTTTGGTGGAACAATATGACCAGGTTGTGTTGTGTTTATTATGTTTTTCGTTTTGATTTGTTGGTTTGGATGGAATGGCTAATTTATGCATGTCCAGTAGTTGCTAGCTTGCTTTTTCAATACTCTTATGCATGGTCTGTTGTTCATGTATATATGTCATGTTAGTTAACGTTGGACATATGTCTTGTAGGCCTCGTCAAAATGGTGGCCATGTCTAACAGGGAAGGTAGCAGCAACACTGACTTCGTCGAGCAAATTAACTAAATGGCTATTCAGATACAAGAACAAAATAACTGGGCGTACGTGCAAGCATGTCGGTACGTACAACAATATTACCCAAACTACATGTCAAAAACACCATATCGAACATCAATATTGATTGGAGGTGCATGGATATGTGAATTGTATGACGGACACGTTGGTCATTTTGAAGAAAATGTTTGTATGCCAAAACATGTATTTTCCTTGTTGTGTGACGCGTTAGTTAGAGATTTTGGTTTATGTGTTAACCAACGTACCCATGGATTAGCCGTGGAAGAAAGCATAACAATATTCATACATGTGTTAAGAGGGTTTAAGAATAGAGCCATCCAAGAACGCTTTCAACATTCAGGTGAAACCGTATCACGTCACGTGCATAATGTTTTGGAGGTGATGAAGAAGTTCACGGTTGTGCATTGTAGGCCAACAACAAATCAAAATGTGCGACATCCTCACTTGCGGTCAAAAATGAAATACCTACCATTCAAGGTACAACTTATTGACGAAAATGTTCTAAGTTTGGGGCCATATCATCTTTTCAAAATTTTGCTCAACTTTTGTGCTTTTAGGATTTCATCGGCGTGATCGATGGCACGTATGATGTTGCGAAAGTGACGGGGCCTGAGGCAGCGACCTATTTTGGACGCAAATACTGTCACACACAAAACATCATGGCGGTTGTTGATTTCGACATGTGTTTTATGTTTGTATCACTTGGATGAAAAGGCAGTATGCATGACAGTAGAGTTTTTGCTGAAATAATCAACAATGAAAATGCGCCGTTTCCACATCTGGAGGAAGGTAATGCAGAATTATCATTTCAAAATTCACTATGTACAAATATGCACAGTATGTTCAAATAACCATATTTTCTTCACATCCGACAGGGAAATATTATATTGTTGATTCGGGCTATCCTAATCGAATGGGTTACCTTGCTCCATACAAGGGCCACCGTTACCACCAAGAAGATTTTCGGTGAGGTGCAAGGAATGCAGTGAACCCACGAGAATTATTTAACAAGGCACACTCGTCAGTGCGCAGTGTCATGGAACGAACCTTTGGGTTGTGGAAAAGTCGATGGGGTTTTCTGGAAAATATGCTTCGTTATGATTTTGCGACTGAACAAGTGCAGTTAGTTGGTGCGTCGATGGCATTACATAAATACATACGGAGAAATAGGGGAAATCCAACCAATGTTCAACCCATAGTAACAGAGGCCGACGCGACAAACATAATCAATGGCATTCCGTTGTTTGCTTCTCCTGGAGGGGATGGAGTAATCATTGGGGATGATGATCCAGATATGGAACTTGTCAGAAATGTCATACGACATCGTTTGGTACACATGTGCAATCACAACATGTTGGGAAATATATAGGACAAAGTCGGTAACCCAAGTTCGGCCGTTCTTGCTGTTTGTATATGTAGGGAATTGTAAGATCACATTTAGTATTTATGGTCTTATGTGTATGTACGTTATGTAATTAGGTTTGTACGTTCCCGTTATGGTCCGCCGAAGAAGTTGGTTATTGTCTTTCGATCAAATTACCAACGAATGTTTGTTATTATGGAGTTGACTATTTTATTTTATTAATATATTGTTCGGACATACCTTTATTATGGAGTTGAAAATTTTATTTTATTAATGTATTTTAGCTCTCATGTTTAAATTTTTTTTTTTTTGTTTGGAACACTGGCTTGGTGAAAATGAGAGTGTACAGCCTTTTGCACAAATGTTGGAAAACATATTTTGGCTTCTTTACGTCCACTGGGTGGAGGGAGTAATTGGTTTGTTTGGTTACTTGGCTATCATGGGGAGCAGAAGACTACCAAACCCTTCTAGCATGATGAAGCAATTGAAAAAAATTGTGAAAAAAGGGAAATTAAAAAAAAAATTTATTGGGTCACAAAAAAAAAAGAGAAAATTATTGGGTCACAATGTGTATAATTTGGAGGTGTAGTTGGATTTTGCCCACATGAGGGCAATTTAGTTATTTTACTCATTCACACACCACTTAAAATACAAAAAAGTCAAAAAAGCCTAACAAGAATACCAAACGAACAAAAAAGTCCCAGGCTAAAAAAGTCAAAAAAGCCAAAAAGCCAACTAAAAAAGTCATTGCCAAACGACACCTTAGAATCTAAATTATTATTTTTTAAGGACCATCTAAGTACGCAGTGCAGGTTTCTTTCATAATGTTGATCATCAAAATCTACTTACTATTTTGCTGCTTATATTTTCTTGAGAATATGTTGCACTCAATCAAACATTGCAAAAGCAGCTCAAAAAAAAATTATTTAGAGTCAAAGTTTCCATATATTAATTATCCAAAAGGGATCCCTAAGCGAACTCCAATTTTTTCAACCCACCAATAGTTATTGGCCTCCTTCAAGCCTATCGAGCACTTCAAATGCTTTATTCGATTTTTTGTCATGAAGCCCATATTTCAAGTTCTCTCATTGGAAACCCATTGAAACAACTAGGGCCAACTTTCCTACGATAAAAATCAACTTTGTTGGCAAGTCAAGATTTCCACCCTTTTAACACTGATCAATTGGTATATAGCCCACCCCATGACTAATACAACAAGATATAACTACATTATTATCTTTTAAGAAAGTTGCATTAACACATAACAAAACAAAACCAATTTGAAATCAAGAGAAAAATCACAACCCTCAATCGACAAAATTATTATAGAAAAAAAGTTTACGATGAAATTTTTTTTCTTTACCTTAGTTCATATCCTCATGGCTTCAATTTTTGTCCATTTGTTTGTGAGTGCACACGCGTGTATTGAAGTTCACTATCTTCTCAAGAGAAGGAAAAAAAATGTAGCTATTTCATTGTGCATAAAAAATTAGAAGAAAAAAGAAAAGGAAAAATTAAGCTTTAGTTTATATACTTCTTCTTGTTCAAAAAGATTGAAGCAAAAATATGGTTCCAAAATACAACAAATGTATACATGCCAATATATGAACATATTCACAAATTATTTCATTACAAGAAAGCAATCAAACCTTCTTTATTGCTCTAAAAGTTAACTCGAAATTGATAGGCAGAGGAAACCAAATAATCTCATCAAAGAAAATCACAAATAATGAGCTATTAATAAGTGGTGTTGATTTTCCTAACTATAATTGCATATTTGGAGCATCCATGTGACAATTGCGGAAAAGGGAGCAAAAAAAAATCCAAGAAAGAAAGGAGCTATGATGGTCGGTTTTGCTACACGTCCCTCCTTTCCCGTTTTCTTTGGGATTGTTGTGTCTGGATGCCTTTTTGCTAAACTCTCATCCTTGCTTATTTTGAATCGACTTTCTTTTCACTTCGGTAGGTGCGCGGTTGAGTCCGGAGTGCCCGGGGACCGAAACAGATTTTTCTGGGCTGTTGGGCCAAGGCTGCACGTGTGGGGTGGGGGATGCACGTGCGGGGAGTGAGGCCGTACGTACGGAATACAGGGGAGGTTTGGGGTGCCTTCTGTCTAATATACACGAGTGGAGAGTGGTGCGGGAGAGGAACCCCGCACGTGCGGGGATGAAGGCCACACGTGCGGGAAGGGCGCTCCGCACGTGTGGGGAGGGGCGCCGCACGTGCGGCAGTCGGGCCAGTCCGAATCTCTGTTTTTCTTCTCTTTTTGGTCCAAATGTACATTTTTCACATTCCTCTCTCACTCTAAACCCTATTTTTATTCCCCTTCTCTCTAGAAAACTTCCTCAAGCATTAAAACTCTTTGATTCTTGCAATCTTTGAACGAAGATCATCATTATCTTCCTCTAAATCTTGACGATCAAGAACTAGGATTCCTCTTGGTGTAGTGAGGGTTGAAGGAGCATCCATCTAAACTAGGGTTTCTCTTCTCCATCTTCTCAAGGACCTTGAGGTAGGGACATTCTTAAGTTATATATACAAGTTTTGCTATTTTGTTGATGATTTAAGAGTTTCCTTCTAGTTTTGATGATTTCAACCTTGTGATTTTAAAAATGTAGAGATTTTTCACAAAAGGGCTTTAAACTTTTAAAATTTTTGGTTAATCTTTGAGGGTTTCATCTTATTAATCTAATAAAGATGTTTTGATTAGGGTTTTCACTAAGAAATGGGAAAAAGTATTTTGTATGTGATGAAGAACCCTAGACCTTGGGGATTTTGGAAAATAAGAAAATACTTATGAAATCCTTTATTATTTTGTGTCATGAAGATGATTGAGAGTAAATCTCATAACAAGTTTGGCAAAAAATGGAAATCTATTAAAGGTTTGCGAAATGGAATGTTATTACAACATATTTGTTAAATTACTTGAGCATGTGTTGTTGGAAAGTGGTGAATGATTATGTACCATGAAATGTTAAAGTTGTAAAACCTTGGGTTTTATGTTGAAGACATATTATATTGCCTTGAAGAGGCTAACTTGTTGTGGTTTGTGCATGATGGGAGTTGTTGTTACTATAAATGGGTGGCACATGGGTGTTTTGTGAATTAGTTTTGAAAATAAGAAATGAGAGATGGGATTAATTGTTATTGTTGTAGAGGTATTTTGAAAATAGAGAAATATTGTGAAATAGTAATTATTGCATCTCATTCTCATTTGATATATTATCGTTAATGTGCATGAAATGAATTATTACCATTGTTGCATTCTCATCAAGTTTACAACTAGAGGGATTATATTGTAATGAGAATTAACGGAAATGTGAAAGGGGTAAATACGTTGGTAAGTCCAGTTAGGGGGTGTAGATGATTTTAATAAGTTGGCCTGAGTGTCCATGGTGAAAGACCAGAAATCCGCGCGGATAGGTGTTGAGCCTTCCGGTTAATATTGGTAAAAATAACAATTTGGTAGCACTTGTAGAGTCTACTTGCAGACACCAGCCTAGGGATTACCAGTGTCGTATTTACCGCCCCTATTGATAATATTGGTAAAAATAACAGTTTGGTAGCACTTGTAGAGTCTACTTGCAGACACCAGCTTAGGGATTACCAGTGTCGAATTTACCGCCCCCCTATTGATTAAAATTGGAAGTTTTGAAATGTGTTGAGATTGTAAGCTTTTAATGAGAAATGAAAATCTTCAAGAAGGGCGTGAAATGAAATTTCTTTTAAAAGAGCATGGCATGGCATGGCATGGCATTGACATTTTCATTTCTATTGAGAGTTTGCATAACTGTATATACTTTGTGAGAATTCTCTACTAGGCTTTATGCTCACCCCATGAGATTTGGTGCAAGTAAAGATGTGGTGATCCCGTCGAATTGAGGGGCGTGGATATTTTGTGAAGAGTAAATAGCTCTCTTATTTTTGTTGTAAATTTTGTAAAGCCAAGGGTTAAACGTGTATGGGTCCGAGAGACTATTTTGTGTAACCGGGCTATTGCCTTGGAAGATGTAAGCCCTGAAGGGCATTTTATTGTTTTGAGACTAGGTGCTTCACATGCTATAGATTCATGTGTATTTTTATCATTGAATGTATATCTGCATGTGAGACTTTTGTATAAACTCTCTTAATGGCTATGTAAAGATGGCAGGTTTGTTGTCATGGTTCAGCGAATGTTAATTAATGTGGTCAGTTCATGCTGAATTATTTCGGGGCGTTACAGGAGCAAAGGATTTCATTATTAAAAAATATAATTTCTAGACAAATCTAAATCTCACTGGTTTTAAATAGAAATTATGGAGAACTTCATGTTTTCCTTGAGTACTTAAGTAGACATTAACAAGTTTA